AGCCAAAGCCACAATAGGTTTGCCCCAGCAGTCATCACCCTGAGGAGGATCAGTGCTCTTTAAGAGGGTCAAAGTTAAAATAGGCTCATAGGCCAACTGGGCTCAGTGGAAGCTGCTGTGATGTGACGAGCTGGTATTGGACAGACAGGGAGGGTTTTCCTATTGCTGTGTGTGTGTGTGTGTGTGTGTGTGTGGGTGGGTGGGTGTTTTGGTTCTTATCCTCAAAGCACAGCTGCTCTCCAAGTTATATCCATCCACACACAACAGAAGCAAATACCACACTGCAGGAGGTTGTTTACTACATCACACTTAAATAGCCACAGCCTGCCTTACACAAATATTTTCCTGTCCCTATGGTTACAAGGACAAAATGTCATTCCACCCATCGTTTCCTCCTTTGCTGCTGTTGTTACCGATTAGATTAAAATATCTGTGGCACTGCTTGTGTGCTGTTCAGCTGTCAGTTGAGGCTTCATAAACAACTTTTTAAGTCTGCACACAAGTGATATGTTAAAACACCCACTGTCTCTGGACATAATTCGTTACTGAAATCCGACTTTTAATAAAAGGTCTGATTTGGAGTTCAGACCAAAAGACTGTGTGGCAAGGCTCCAGGGCTAGAGTTCACCCACTAGCTTTTCAGGGCCAGTCTGATAAAAAGTCTGCAGGACAGACAACAAGCAGCCATCTGTGTGCTGCAGTTTCACCTCTCTCACACTTGTCTCTTGGTTTGGTATGCTGCATGTAACAGCCGGATCTAGCCGCGTCTTTATGGGAGAACGTGGAAAAACAGATGTTCTTCTTTAAAAATCCTGTTTCTGAGTTGGTTTTAGAGCAAGGAGCTCGGATAAGTAAGCGTTCCTTTATTGAGTACAGAGTTAAAGTCTTAATCAGCTTTAAATTCTTTATAATTTACTTCCAAGCACCAAAGTGGTATTTCAAAGTTGCCTTGATCAGTAGTTATTCAGGCTTTCAAGTTGTTTTTCTGAGGATTTGAAAGTTTTTTCTGTTCGGTACCTGACCATTTTCAGAGGATTGCTTTTTCATGTCGACACTCCACTCTGATCTATGAACCCTATTTAGTATCTGAAGACCCCTGAACTCAAAGGTTGAACCAGACAACGTATAGGCTCCACTTACACCTGTTCACGCAGAAGGGTCAATACACTAGTCAGCTGCTCAAAAGCTGCTTTGTTTCTCTTTTATAGGTGGGTGCTGATGGTATACTTGCACACAAGCATATATACAGCATGATTCTTTACTCTGCCACTTGTTGGAATAATGTCATTAAAATATAATAAATTCTAATTCATCATGATAATATTTGTCAAATACATGTTTCCAAATTAAACATGTGTTTTCTACCTGAGTGGACATGTAAAAGACTCTTTAAATTTTTAATATAAAATTTAAATTGAAGGGTTATTTTTCGTTTGGCTCTTTCCTGGTTTTCAATTCTGTTCATTAAAATTTAAGTGTCTTCTTTTGTGTCCCACTTGTCCACTTTGGTAACTTTCAGGCTTAAACCGCAAAACATGTCATCAGGTAGCAAGACAACAAAAAAGTGAAAAATCAAAACGAATGAAAACCTCCACAATTAAATTAAATAAATGTAATTCAAAATTAAAGAAAATTAAGAAAATGTTACTTTTTGAACTATAAAAAAAGGAGTGATTTTAAAACTTTTACGCAGGAATGAATGTATAAATTTTATTTCCGTTTGTACCAAATTATAATTTCGTTTTTCATACTGTTCTTGTCTATGTTTACTATGCACTTTTTCTATAGAAGCAAACAGTATTTATCCCAACACTTATTCAGATCATCTTTTTTTTTGTGGATTAAATCTTTATTTGGAATGAACATATATCAATAAACAAGACAAGATGTAAATGACATAAGAACAGTCATTCCAATCCCCCCCCCCCTCCCCCTCCCAATTGAATCCAAGATGAGTAGTGGATGGCAAGAGCATCCCATCCCTCATAGAGGAGTATCAGTAGTAGATAATCTTGTTGTAAAAGACAACACTACCCCCTCTGGTGGTCAAATGGTAACATGACATCAGAGAGGATGAACAGAAGATCGTTACGAGCCGTGACTCTGTTGTCTCTTCAGGTCCCAGGAGTTACCTCACCTCCACCATGACGGATCGCTTCGACTGCTACTACTGCCGTGACAACCTGCACGGCAAGAAGTATGTGAAGAAGGATGAGAAGCACGTGTGCACCAAGTGCTTTGATAAACTCTGTGCCAACACCTGTGCAGAATGCAGGCGCCCTATTGGTGCAGACTCCAAGGTGAAAAAAAAGAATAAAGTTCTATATGAACAGAAATGTGCATTAAATATTTTACATGCCCACCTTAGGTCTCTTCATCAAGACTCTGGTGTTGGCATCCACAGCGTCTCTGGATTCATGGAATCACTGCTTTAATGTTAACCCTCCACTTCTATGGGTTTAGGAGCTGCATCATAAGAACCGCTACTGGCACGAGGACTGTTTCCGCTGCGCCAAGTGCTACAGCCCCTGGCCAGTGAGCCGTTCAGCGCTCGGGATGATGGGAAGATTATGTGTGGCAAGTGTGGCTCCAGGGAGGACGGAAACCGCTGTCAGGGCTGCTACAAGGTGGTGATGCCAGGTAGGTCTGTTAGTACCTTTAGTTTGGGTTTTTCAAGGTCCTGACATCAACAATATTTGGTATCTTTACATAAAGAGGAATTCACACTCTCTAATAGTCAGTCCCGTGAACCTTTCTGTGGTTTTTGTGTGTTGTTTTCAGGGTCCCAGAACGTGGAGTACAAGAGCAAGGTGTGGCACGAGGAATGCTTCACCTGCTTCGAATGCAAGAAGCCGATCCGCACACAGAGTTTTCTGACTAAAGGGGATGACATCTACTGCTCTCCATGCCATGAAAATAAATTTGCCAAGAAGTGCTTCCACTGCAAGCAGGTAAAAATACCGACCCTGCCTGCTGTTTGGTCATGTTTTTCTTCTTTTAGCCTTTCGTAGCTTCTGTAGAAAGTCTTGTTTGATTTAATGATCTGCGTGTCTCTTTATCAAGCCCCATCACCTCTGGAGGGATCAGCTACCAGGACCAGCCCTGGCACTCTGAGTGTTTTAAGTGCCAAACCTGCCGTAAACCTCTGGCTGGAACTCGCTTCACCTCCCATGAGAACCACGTTTACTGTGTGGACTGCTACAAGAGCGATGTGGCCAAGAAGTGGCAACGGCTGCAAGAACCCGATCACAGGTCAGATGTTGCAGATGACTGGCTTAATCCTGAGTCTAGGTGCAGGGTGGCATGCTGCTGCTGCTGAGTTTATTTAAGAAGCAAAAACAAATGTAAACACTTTAAATTTACCCAAACTAAAGCAAGTAAAGCAATCACTCCAAATATGAACATGGTCAATGTGTTAACAACTAGTGCGGTACTATATTATTGGTAGTTATTGCATTAAAGTATAAAATTGGAAATTATCTTTATACATCAAATTCTTCAGCAACGTCTCCTCTCACTTAAAATGTAAAAAATCAGAGATCAGACGTTTAGTGAGATGTTTTTTGTTTAGCACAACTTGCCTGACTTAAATTGAAGTAGTAATTATATTTTGTATAATTAATGATTAAAGTTTAAGTATGGATGACAGGAGAGATGTGATGCAAGGGGGGCGTTTTAATACCAAGTGTGTCTTTGTTATGTTAGTCACCTAAAATTTATTTTTTTCTTTTTTAACAAGGGGGACCTGCACATATTGGTATTGGATTACATCAGATTTGGAAATTACAAGGTAGATTATATAGGTATAACAGGGATCAGTAAAAAATAATTGAAAAACACTATCGAACCATTAGCTACCAACTCTACAGTCTTTGTCTTCCTTCCAGGAGTAACTACAGGGAGTGCAGAATTATTAGGCAAAAGAGTATTTTGTCCACATCATCCTCTTCATGCATGTTGTCTTACTCCAAGCTGTATAGACTCGAAAGCCTACTACCAATTAAGCATATTAGGTGATGTGCATCTCTGTAATGAGAAGGGGTGTGGTCTAATGACATCAACACCCTACATCAGGTGCGCATAATTATTAGGCAACTTCCTTTCCTTTGGCAAAATGGGTTAAAAGAAGGACTTGTCAGGCTCCTAAAGGTAAAAAATAGTGAGATATCTTGCAGAGGGATGCAGCATTCTTAAAATTGCAAAGCTTCTGAAGCGTGATCATCGAACAATCAAGCGTTTCATTCAAAATAGTCAACAGGGTCGCAAGAAGCGTGTGTAAAAACCAAGGTGCAAAATAACTGCCCATGAACTGACAAAAGTCAAGCGTGCAGCTGCCAACATGCCACTTGCCACCAGTTTGGCCATATTTCAGAGCTGCAACATCACTGGAGTGCCCAAAAGCACAAGGTGTGTAATACTCAGAAACATGGCCAAGGTAAGAAAGGCTGAAAGATGACCACCACTGAACAAGACACACAAGCTGAAACGTCAAGACTGGGCCAAGAAATATCTCAAGACTGATTTTTCTAAGGTTTTATGGACTGATGAAATGAGAGTGAGCCTTGATGGGCCAGATGGATGGGCCCGTGGCTGGATTGGTGAAGGGCAGAGAGCTCCAGTCCGACTCAGACGCCAGCAAGGTGGAGGTGGAGTACTGGTGGTTTGGGCTGGTATCATCAAAGATGAGCTTGTGGGGCCTTTTCAGGTTGAGGATGGAGTCAAGCTCAACTCCCAGGTCCTACTGCCAGTTTCTGGAAGACACCTTCTTCAAGCAGTGGTACAGGAAGAAGTCTGCATCCTTCAAGAAAAACATGATTTTCATGCAGGACAATGCTCCATCACATGCGTCCCAAGTACTCCACAGCGTGGCTGGCAAGAAAGGGTATAAAAGAAGAAAAACTAATGACATGGCCGCCTTGTTCACCTGATCTGAACCCCATTGAGAACCTGTGGTCCATCATCAAATGTGAGATTTACAAGGAGGGAAAACAGTACACCTCTCTGAACAGTGTCTGGGAGGCTGTGGTTGCTGCTGCACGCAATGTTGATGGTGAACAGATCAAAACACTGACAGAATCCATGGATGGCAGGTTTTTGAGTGTCCTTGCAAAGAAAGGCGGCTATATTGGTCGCTGATTTGTTTTTGTATTGTTTTTGAATGTCAAATGTATATTTGTGAATGTGGAGATGTTATATTGGTTTCACTGGTAAAAATAAATAATTGAAATGGGTATATATTTATGTTTTGTTAAGTTGCCTAATAATTATGTACAGTAATAGTCACCTGCACACACAGATATCCCCCTAAAATAGCTAAAACTAAAAACAAACTAAAAACTACCCAACACATTCAGCTTTGATATTGAGTTGTTTGGGTTCATTGAGAACATGGTTGTTGTTCAAAAATAAAATTATTCCTCAAAATACAACTTGCCTAATAATTCTGCACTCCCTGTATGGAAAATGCATGAAATCTTTACTTTCCATGATTATTTTAAATCTGACAGAACATGTACCACTTTCCCCCAACAGGTCCCTTCACAGGCAGCGGTTTATTTATAATTGCACTGCCTCAGTTAAATATTTTTGTTATTTTTATTATTTTCTTCTTATGGCTTGCTGAAGCCAATAAATCCCCCCTAGGTGGTCAAAAATAGAATTTGATTGAGAAGTTTTTTTACATTGAATCTAAAAATGACCCAGCTTTAATTGTTTTGTAATCCTATTAAACTATGAAAACTGTAAAATACAACAGTATCCCTTTAACAAAGCACTGAGAAATGCTGATCATTTAAGAAAACGATTTGTTTAATAAACCAGTTGGTGTAAAAGAAAAATCCCTCTATAATATTAAATGCATTCTCCTAAAGCAACAGATCTAAATATGTGAGGATATAAAGTCCCAAGGTTATTCTCATAACAGCGCAGCAGCAGCTCAGGTGGTAGAGCGGCTGCCTCATGATCAGGGGGTCATGGGTTTGATTCCAGCTTCCGCCAGGGGTGTTCTGCTGTTGTGTCCTTGGGCAAAACACTTCACCCAACTTGCCTGTGTTGGTGGTGGTCAGAGGGGTCGACGGCACCAATGGCAGCCTCGCCTCTGTCAGACCGCCCCAGGGGCGGCTGTGGCTACAAAGTAGCTTCCATCACTAACAGTGTGTGAATCTGAGAGTGCGTGAAAGCGTCTTTGAGTGTCCTGAAAAGCGCTATATAAGTTCTATGATTATTATTAATATAACAAAACTTGGGTCTGACTTCAAACTGGGACACTAAAATCACCCTTTTGTCTGTGCAGGATTTGGCCATGGAACCAATGTGGTGAACTATGAGGGATTATCCTGGCATGAGTATTGCTTCAACTGCAAGAAATGCTCTCTCTCCCTGGCCAACAAGCGCTTTGTCATCAACGGAGATCACATCTACTGCCCCGACTGTGCTAAAAAGCTGTAAACGACACAATCGGTTGTAAAAGGAATCGCACTACGCATTCTCTAAGAGTTGCTTTGTTTTGAAGTTCTAGAAGACATTTTTAAAAGACCTGGATTTGCATGCATGCCAGTGGTCAGTTTTGTGGAACTGTTACAAGGAAATATTAACTTAGTGCACAGGCTGCAACTATATCATTATCAAGTGTTAATCTCTAACAAGGCAGAATTTCTGGGATTGATGTTTCGGTTTAATCTGTACCAGGGTTCTGGGACTCAAAAGTCCATTAGAGCCTTACTGGGACCTTCCCAAGAGTAAATGCATTTTTTGCTTTCATGGCCTGCTGCTGCATAAACACACCAGCTTTGAGAGATTATCTGTCACATCTCTGAATACTATTAAAAAGAATCAAGAGTGAATACAAATACACACAAATTCTTTTGTTTGATGCTGCAAAATAAACCAAGTGTGTATTCAGAATGAGACGTCTGAAAGAAACTGAATCATGACAAAAGGATGTTTTTGCAAGACTTTATTGTTTTAACAGTCTGTATCATATCTTAGATATATTTACAGTAAAGATATTATTTATAGACAGGGCAGGGGACTTTGATGCCGAATCTTTACAGAGTCCCTGTTTGGGTGACTGATTGTCGAGGCCAAGGTAAGGACACTCTTTAGTTTCAACTGTAATGCAATAAAAACACTGGATCTCTATCTAAGGCACTGAGCTATCTGGAGTCAAATCTGAGGGTGAAAAAGCTACCAGTTCTGTTGTTAAACCCAAAATATGCAGCAGGACATGAAAAACAATCTGTTCAAGCAGCAACTAGACCAGCTCCCCAACAGGAGCAACATATGAGTGGAACAGGAGGGGTTTCAGAGGGGAGGGTTTGAGTCAACGTAATAAAAGCTAAAACTACAATAACAGAACGAAAATAAGTCACAGGTCCATGGGCTTCTATACTCCTTTCTACAAATATCACAGATCTTCTAGTTCGTCTGTACAGTAAAGCTTCTCCTCAGTAACAATTCATCTTTGATAGTGCAGATTCTCACCGTTTCATAAAGGAATAATATATGAAAGCAGAACGCAGTTGGCTCTGTGTGTTAAATAATGAAAGTCACTGAGCTTATTAATCAAAGCCGGGATAATTTAGGCCCAGCTTATTTTTGTTACCCCACAGCGAACAAGGCAGACAGCAACAACCCCAAACATCACCATAGTTGTGACTATTCACACCACCGTTCAGACAACTAGGAGACTGATCCAAAAAAGAAAAGAAAATCAAGAGCGACCCACTCCTTCCGTTGGGTGAACATGGTTTTCCGACTACAGTAGAACAGCTGAAACCTGAGCTGATGGTCGTTTACTCCTAATTATTTTACACATAAACACATTTAAATTATATTAAAAGCACCGTGAGGTTCCACAGCTTCTTCGGTCAACCGGCTCTTGTAGCAAACTGTTATTTTTTTATGCGCCTCATTTTTGTTAGATATTGATTCCCACTTGGTTTTTTTTTCATTAGAGCAAGCTGCAAGCTTTGCAAGTTCCAGAATAAAATGCAGAAGCCCAGCAAACCTGTAAGCAGACATCACTCAACCTGAAACCCAATTCATAAACTTCATTTTCCCCAGCCTGAGCCACTCCATCCTAAACATGGCTTAAACGGCCTAATACTGATTAAATACACAACATTATAACATTTATATTCACGTAGAAATGTATTTTACATCAACAAGCAACCCTTTTCTATACTACAAAAGCTGAAATGCATTTTGTCAGACGTAGCAGCTAAGGTGACGACCGGAGTTAGTGGGAAGGAAGCCACGCCAGCATAAAGAAGGAACCCGTCTCAGGAGCAACTACAGCTGAAACTAGATCCACCCATGTTCAATGAGTTTGTTACATAGATGCTGAATATGACAATAAAGTCAAACACGACTTGGATGTTAGTGAGCGTTATTTCTACTTACGTGTGTAAATTAAAACAAGATGAATCTAAACCAAATGTGAATCCTAGACCACAGCGCTGGAACTGTGGCTCGAGTTGAACCTTTCAGCTTTGTGTTTGTGACGCCATCTCGTGGCCAGATAAGGAAAAGCAGGACAGCAGGAGAAAGTTTGGGAAGTCGTCATCAACAATGGCGTGTATGTATGTATGTGTGTGTGATTGAAGGAAGCTATTAAACCATGCATGTATGAGTTTCAGCATTAACAGTTTAGGACAGTCACAAGCTGGGAAGTGAAAGAGGTAAGGCCATGGAGCTGAATGCTGCAAAAAGCAGCCGGTCAAGTAAATTTTGAGGAAACACATGCAAACCGTCAGATGCTAGTTCCCACCCAAACTGAATGTATTAACATATTTGTTATATTTAACATCATTTACACAACCTGATGTGCATTTGTCTTGGAATATTCTCATTAAGGAGACAAAAAGACTAAACATGTAAAAAATTACAATAACAAAGAAGCAAAAATTAATAAATTACAACAATGCACCCCTAACAAGAACAAAACTGAGAAAAAAAATTAAAGAGAAACCATTGACTTTGAACAGAAAATTGAACAGTTTTGTGTATTTAACTTCACACCAACGGAAAGAGAAAGATACCTGGAGCAGGATCGTTAGAGGAATACAAAATATTTCCCTGAAGACTGATCTTGTCTCGTACATAAATGTTATTTATTTGTTTCCTCAAAAGGTTGGGTACAAATGAAGCACTTAGGGTGGTCTTTCCGTTTCACCTTGTGCACCTCCTGGAAGAGGAGGAGGAGGAGGAGGAGGAGGAGGAGGAGGAGGAGGAGGAGGAGGTTGTTCAGAGCAGAAAGAGAATTCTTGAAAGGGTCTCAACTGGACAGGAACTTTTAGTACAACGTCAACAAGCTTCTCAGTGATAACTGCAGCATCAAATTTCTGCAAAGACCAAGACAGGCGGGTTACAGTCTGTGGTGAGTCTACCATGTTAGAGAGGGAATGTGATTGCTCACCTGGCATGGCTTCTATGGGTTGATTAGAGGAATGCAGGGAGTTTATGGGCGTCCCCCTGTCCTCAAAAGCTACCTTGGTCCCATCTGTGCTCCCGTCACAGCTGATTAAAACCTGGTTACAGTCCTCTGACTCAATGAGAGGCCGGCTTTTGGAATGGACATTAACATCAATGAGATCCTCGAAGCTCCACTGGTTTGACTTCCCGTTGAGACTTGAGACCAACCCTGATTTGGTGGAGTCCTGCTCGTTCAGGAACTCCGAGTTCTCAACAAGATTCCCTTTAGGGACGGGGCTGCAGAGACAGGAGTAGGACTTAACAGAAGGGATAATGAGAACACGAGCAAGGCTCAACTTTGCTGAATGTAAAACGTGTTTAAATTCATGAAGTTCAATAAAAAGAATTAGTTAAAAAACACATTTCTTTAATGATGATCAAAAGTATCATTTTACTTCTAATTTTTCCAAAGAAGACATCCAGTGATAGTATTCACTTTTGTTCATTGCTGCTCATGGAAAAGGAAGTAGCCGTGTTTCCACCGTAAGAGTTCCAGGGAATTTCTAGGAGGGCGGGTTGGTGGTTCAGTCCTCTCAGCTGTTGTTTCTCCATACAAAATCAGCTCTTTCAGGACTTTCCTAAGACTGCTAAGAGTGACATCACTGATTGGCACCAAAAGGCATCCATGTTTTATTCCGTCAAAGTACGCCGTCATTTAATGCATTCAGGAGAGAGACTGTGTGACGTAAAAAGCTCTGTAGCAGACCACAAAGCAGCAAAAATTACAACATTGTGGGGGGGTGGGGGGTGGGGGGGGGGGGTTTCTGCCACAATTTTTGGTGTTGGGAGTTTATTAACGGCTATTTTAAAACGGTGTGAAAATTGCTTAGTTTCTTTTTCTGCTTTCTGTTTACCAGCAACTCTTCCACTTTTACAAATGCTGGTTGTTTGTCGATGTGTGCTGGTGTAATTTCCTACTGAGTTACAATCAATCAGCACGAGTCAACCACAAGACCCGCCCTCCAACTCTACAAAGTACATAACCAAGTTCAGGTACTCGTTTGGTCCCTGAGAGTAGTTCTCCAAGACCAGCCTGGTGGAATGGAGTAATATGCATGCTGCAAAGGTCTGGTAAAATCTGGTAAAATTACCCAGAAGCTCTGATAGTACAAATGGGCCAAAGCTCTTCCAAAATACAAGAACATTTCACATCTACAGATTATCACAAGCACTTTCCCAATCAACTGAAGGGATCTGTTGTCTTCATACCTTCCTGCTTGAATCTCATCTGTGTCTGTGCCGTTGTTCTCCTTGTCCTCAGCCTCTGACTGTCCGTTCACACTGCCTACGGGTTCTCCTCGACTCTCCACAGGCTCGTCAGAGAGCACGCTGTCTTTGTCGGTCTCTGTGGTGATGTCATCCATTTCAGCTGCAAGGACAATGGACACAGAAAACACTAGTCAGTTTATAAAAATAATGATGTGTATTCGCATTAACCACAGCAAATACAACACTGTTACTGTTCACATGTTACTGATCACATGATCAAATTATGCATGTTATATTACCAAGTTAGGGTAACACTTTACAATAAGGATCCCTTTATTAAAGTTACTTAGTAGGGCTGAACCATCTATCATTTTTGGACCGAAATTGCGATTTCAAACAGTGTGTGTGTGTGTGTGTGTGTGGGGGGGGGGGGGGGGGGGGTACTGTCCAGAGCCGAGCCCAATTCCACAGCTGACAGCTGCACATTTAGGTTATTTTCCCTGTTTCAAGTTTCCACACACAGCGCTGGTAGAGCCGATAATAATGGCACCGTAGGTAAGCGAGGGAGCGTAGCTGAGTGGGGGAGAGAGACTCCTCCCACAACAGAGCAGGTTCAGGCTGATTGCTAAAGCTTGGTTTATGCTTCATCAGCACAAGTGCGGAGTCGTGCACGTTAGTTGACTTGAAAGCTCAACTTCTCTTTTAAAAATGGTTTGAATGTTTCTGATGGCACACGTTAGTTCAAACTAGCTAACGTGTCAGTTTCTCTTTCAATGTGTGAGTCTCTCTCATGGAGCTGACCGCAGCATAAACCAGGCGTTATAGTTTTAGTGAGGAAACATGTGCAGCCAGCTTGCCTTGGTAATGAGGGAAAACTGTCAGCATTATTTGTTATTTAATACATTTGAAAGCTGTTTCTACCTTCAGCTTTCCTCCTTGCATTTTTAAAGAACATTTTTATATAAAGCTCCTCTCTAGATAAAAATCACAATTGCTTCACAATCACAAAAAACAATAAAAAAAAAGATAATAATAGGAAAAAATATTAATAGCTTTAACTGTTTTTATTGTATGAGATAGTAAATAATAATGTGAATTATTTGTTGTACTAGATTATAATCGAGACCATCCTTTCACTTAATGTACAGGATGGCTTGACGGGCTAGTGTTGTACCTTTGTTTGCAGAAAATCGTGAACTGAACTGAAATCGCAATTTCTGCTAGAAAAATCACACTCAGTCTTTTCCTAAAATCGCTCAGCCCTATTAGTGCATTATTAAGCATTAATACACCATTAAACAAAGTGTTGTCAACTGCTTTCATGCATTACATAGCATTACTAAACATATTATTTAATGCAGTATTAACTAATGTCCATTACTGAACCTAAGGGTCCAAAATTCATTCAGTAATGATTCATTACGGTTAAGTAATGCTTAGGCATCTATTAAGCATTTAGAAAGTGTTTATAAATGGATAAATGTTCATACTTTACAATAAAGGTCAAATTTTTACTTGGTAATGTTTAACTGCGGTTAGGTAGTGTTTAAATAATGCTTATGAGTCTATTAGGCATTTAGAAAGTGACACATGTTTAGCCTTTACAATAAGGGTCCACAATGAATTCAGTAATCATTAATTATGGTTAGGTAATGCTTAAGTAAAAGCATTTGTTAACACTTTATTTAATGGTTTATTAATCCTAAATAATGCACTAAGTAGCATTAATAAAGGGACCCTTATTGTAAAGTGTTACGCAAGTTGGTTTCTACATCATTAAAGTGTGACAAGTACTTCATATACAAAATAAAAATTCTTCCCAGAAAACATTGTAAGATAAGAAAATGTGTTGATTAGAGAGCTTGTTGCTCTAAGCATCATGAGCCATGAATGATGAATAAATCAGTTATAAACACCAAGGTTACATGAACACAAGAACAGTGAGACACTTACTTTTGGTTTCACCCAACAAGTCTAGACCATCTTCTCCGTCCTCCTGTGAACATTTATCATCGTCTCTCTAACAAAATAAACAACCAGGACATCAGTCAGCAGGGAAACGGTTCAGTAGCCTGGCAAGCCAGACTAAATAAATGTATTATTTAAACTTTGCAAAGCAAGAATTTGTTCTAGTTCACTAGGCTAACAGTTTAGAGCAGTTAGCTCAAACACTGCAGGAACTCACCTTTAAGTCATTTTGTTCTCCTTTTCTAGTTCTTTTCATTATTTCTTCAATTCGCTGAAGTTGGGGGACAAAGGACAGTTTAGAAAGGATTCCTTTCAAATTACAAATACAGATACTGATGAAGCTGATCCAAAGAGACAATTCTGATGAAATAGCTGTTTAAAATTCGACTAAAATTAGTCCATGTGAGTGATACATGAAGTTCCTTTTTGACTTCATACCTTCTTCCTCTCCATCCGTTCTTGCTGGTTCTGCTGCATGATGCGGTCTCTTTCCTGACGGACTCTCTCTGCCTCCTCCAGGGCTTTCGCCTCAGCCTCTTCTCGCTCCTTCTGGAGTTCGGCCTGCTTTATCGCTTCTTCTTCTGCCATTCTCACCCGTTCCTCCTCTGCAAGGCGAGCTTCTTCCTCTTCTTTAATTTTTCTCTCCTCAGCCAGCCTCTTCTCCTCCTCCAGGCGTTTCTGTTGGGCTTCTTCTGCTAAACGCTTCTCCTCTTCTTTTCTCAGCCTGAAGAGTGGTTTGTGGATTAGTGTATTTACAAATCAAAGCATGTACAAGCTGCCAGCCTGAGTGTTGCTGATTCATGCATAATTGCTTAAACTGCTGGAGTAGCCTCACTTCTCCTCTTCCTCCTTCTGTATCCTGAGCTGCTCCTCTCGCTCCTTCTGCTCCCTCATCAGTCTGCGGTTTTCAGCCAGGATCCTGGCGGCCTCAGCAGCTGAGTTAGTGCCCGTCGCAGGCTTAGCGTCTGATGGAGAAGCAAACGCAGAAGATACGTTTACCACTTTCTGACATCATGTCATCACTTTCTCATAGCTGAGGGTCGGGTTTCGGTTCCTTTACTCGACAACATCACAGAGAGAGGACACCAATTGCTGAAAGTCTGCTGAGGGAGAAAGCAGCGCCTTGTGCAGCTTTCACATGATCAAACTTTACTTTCTAGGAACAAAATGATTCCCAGAAGCGTTTAAGTAATGTGATAACATTAAGACCAAAGACTGGATTAACTAAAAAGTACTGCTACTGCTGAACGTTCACTCTAAGTATTTTTGAGGTTATGGTAGACAACTCCTAAACTCACCTTTAATGTTACAGTAATTAATAAAGTTTTCAGGGATTTTCAAGCATTTTCAAAGTAAATGATCACATTTTTCTAGAACCACAATTTAGAGTTAATATACACATTTTAGCTGAGAAGTTGTGAACTTCAACCTTATATTTCCTCTTCCTACCATCATCCTTAACACCCCCATCTTAAAAAGCTGCTTCTTTTGCGTTTCATGCAGGAAGCTAATAGAGGGTTTGGCTCTTGTTTCAACCATGTTTTGAACTTAAGATTTTCCAGCAAGAGGCCATTAAAGCAGCAAATGCCCGGTGTGCCGTGTCCTTCTGCTCACTGTTCCTTTAGAAGAGACACAAAAACGGAGTTTTTTCACACGAAAACGGATCTTTTTAAAAACTCCGGCCAAAGTGAAGATCTGCGTTTTCTCCGTTTTGGGTGTCTGCGTGTGGACAGACAAAACCAGAGTTTTAAGGTCCGCAACGTCACTTTCCGCAACAAAAAAATGCTGACATCACGTGTGCGACCTGTGTTTACACTAGCCGACAGCATGGATGCCCACAGAGCTGCGCTCGCTTTATCAATTGTCCAAGCGCTTTTTGCTGGTTTGTTTTTGCAAGCGGAATTACTGCTCCTTGCGGAAGACCACAGACGAAGGACGAGGTTAAGAACGGGGGAAGTACTGCCGCCTACAGGTCTGGCATGTCCTTAACAACGTATTTATCCGGGTACGTGTGGACAGAGATTTTATTTTAAACGAGGTGGTGTGGATGCAAGTTTTTGGAGGGGCGGATATTCGTTTTTTAAAAAACCCGGCTACGTGTGGACTAGGCCTTATGTTCTTTATTATGAACTGAGCAGTTAGGAAATCGAGCTCTTTCCCTTAAAACCCCTAAAAACACCTAATTGAAATCCAAGTATTTTGAAGGATTTCAAGCACCTGAGCAAAGCTAGGATGCTTCCAAACATCCCCACTTGCACCGAGCTCACTATGCATTTACAGCACTCACCTGCACAGCCACAACAAAAGCCTGCATTTCTTGCAGTCAACAATACTGTCCACAGGGAGGCAGACACAACCGTACATCCACACATTTAACAGGATGTGACTCCAGCAGGGACTTAATGAATCTCCTGCTCCACAGGCACTTATAGCAGCCAAAGCTGCTGCCACGTCAGTCTGCAGCATGCACATGCACACACACACACACACACAAATGCATTTCATTGTCTGACTATAAACATAGTGGTGCACTGTTTTTAAACTAAAATAAGTCCCATTTGAAGCAGCTCCAGATTACTGGGAGTTTTAATGAAGTAAAAAGATAAGACATGATGTTTTTACCAGTAGTTTAAATGAGTAGTGTAGATTTATTGTAGACAAATAAGATTTATTGTCACTTAAACACACGTGTAAAATCCAATAACCTTTTTTCTTGATTTAACTTCTGTTTACATATTTTGGTGTAAAAATGTGTTTGGACAGCAGGAACAACACAATGCCACCATGCAGAAACCATTTTTAAAGAGACACTGATTTAGGGCAGAACAATTCTGGAAAATAACATAATTGCAATTTTTTTCTTCAATATTCTAATTGTGATTTAATTCACGATGATTTTCTCAAGGGGCTTTTTCAGATTTTTCAACGAGCAGAAGCAAAATAAACCTAAGTAATAGGGCTGAACGATCTATCGTTTTTGGACCGAAATTGCGATTTCAAACAGCAAGAACACTTGACCGTCAAAGCTGCATTTTGACTGATCCAGGATCAGTTGTGTAACTTTTTTTTTTTTTTTTTTTTACATCCGGGGTTTTCCCCCGTGTTATGGCGGTGGCAAAAGCCAGCGCGGGGGGTACCATTCAGAGACGAGCCCAACTCCACAGCTGCATGTTCAGGTTATTTTCCCTGTTTTATGTTCCCACACACAGCGCTGCTAGAGCCAATAATAATGGCGACGTAGGTGAGCCCGGGTCAGAGAGAGAGAGACTCGTCCCACAACGGAGCAGGTTCAGGCTGATTTCTAAAGCTTGGTTTATGCTTCAACAGCACGAGTGTGGAGTCATGCACGTTAGTTGACTTGAAAGCTCAACTTGTCTTTTAAAAATGGTTTGAATGTTTCTGATGGTGCACGTTAGTTCAAACTAGCTAAGGTCTCAGAATGTGTGCATCTCTCTCACGGAACTGACGTTAGCGAGGAAAAACTATCAGACGGCTTCAAAAAACGTGCAGCCGGCCAGCCTTGGTAATGCAGGGAAAACTGTGTGTATTTTTTTTTATTTAATACATTTAAAAGCCATTTCTATCTAACGATTGCCTCCATGCATTTTTAGAGTAGAACATGTTATATAAAGCTCCTCTCTAGATAAAAATCACAATTTGCTTTGCAAACGCATACAAAAAAGATACTAATGGGAGAAAATATTAATAGCTTTAACTGTTTTTATTGTATGATTAAATAGTAAATATTAATGTGAATGATTTGTTGTACTAGATTGGAAACTAGACCATCTTTTCACTTAATCTACAGGATGGCTTGGCAGGCTAGTGTTGGATCTTTGTTTGCAGAAAATCGTGAACTGAACTGAAATCGCAATTTCTGGTAGAAAAATTGCAATTCAATCCTTTCCTAAAATCGTTCACCCCTACTATGTAACTTGAACTGAATATAAACAAATTTATACATCTACATATTTATCTACATATCTTATCAACAAGTTTATTTGTCTACATAAAAATTCACAAGTAAAGGTGCAATGCTGTGCAGCCAGGAGCACATCCCTTGAAGGAGCATAGGTATTAGCATCAATTGTGAAAATGTATTTGCAGGAACGAAGTGTGTCCTGTTTACTGAAGTCTTTTGTGTTTAGAGTTTTTGACGTCTTGTCCATGCAGAGCTTCCACAGTTCAGTTACATCCATAGGTGCTAGTCATAATACTCAGTGGAGTTAAAAGTCTCATGGTTTTCTAGCTTTACTAAAATGTACTTATTTGACTGATGGCAGTTTTTACTTTTTATTAGACTCTAAATGTAATCAGTTGGCATGTTCCTAATTCATAATTTGTAAGAATGTAATCGGCAATATTAGCATTAGCATCCCTTATGGATTTTCCCATGACTATTAGCATTGTGCTAACCACTCATTGCCAGTCAAATCGCAGCCTTTGCAATTAGAAATTCTCCTTTTGTCACATCGCGATTAATTGCGTATGGCATATGCAATTAATCGTTCAGCCCTACACTGATTGCTTACTTGAATGAGACATGCCGCAGCACAATAATAGGAAGATTCTTCTGTCAGTTCAGAAGTTTGTTTGAATCAGCAAAACTAAAGGATTTATGAGGTTCACAGCTAAGATGCTAAATATTTCATCAAGCAGGGTGCTTGAGTTTCCAAAACAGACCGAATGTCTGGAAGAATCAAAGCAAACATCCTAGTTGCATCACTGTGTGTGAATAATACAATGAATTGAACCACATATTTAATTTCGGACCTTTTAAGGCATCAGCTCACCATCTTTGTCTTTGGTCTTGCAGGAATCGGAGGACAGTGAAGCCACAGCCTGAACAGGACCCAGATCCTTGGATTTGGAGTCCCTCTTTCTGAGGGTTGGGGGCCCAGTTGGCGTGAGAGATGGTTTCTGGATAGGTGGAGGTTTAGCTGATGTTGGCTGAGGAGATGGAGGACGCTGTTTCATTGCAGCTGGTGAAGGTGGACGCATCCTGGGACTTTGCCTGTTAAGAGAAATTATTCAGAGTGATTTGTTTTTGTTTATTGAAAGATTATAAAACCAAAAGCAAGATTGCAACAACCTTTAACAACTCCTTACTTGGTTGCTGCTGGAGACGGGGTTCTCTTTGGCGCTGGATTGGGTGCTGGTGATGGTGAGCGGTTACGTACCAAGGTGGAGGATGGGGAGGCGGGGCGCTGCCCCTGAGGCGATGATAAAGGCTTTTCTTTCTGTACACACACACACACACACACACACACACACACACACACACACACACACACACGCACACACACACAAATCATTTTTAACATTCTTTGTAAATCTTGATGCTCCAAGAAGATACTGGTTACTCAAGGTAGAACACGGGTAATACAATGCTAACGTATTCTTGCATCTCATGCATTTTTAAAGCCGGTGTTAAACACGGTGTCAGAAATCAGCTGCAAAGTCAGTGGGCATAAAAACACAGGTATATACGACCATGGCCTTTTCTAATCAGTACGTGTAGCATCTGTGTTTGACACTGTGCTTATGAGAAATAATGACACTCTTACATACTATTCAACAAAAAATACTGAGGAATAAGTAGAACAATAAACCAATGGTGTGTGACAATAACGCCCTACTTTAAAACGGTTTGATCATTTGAAGAAAAAAAAAGAATAGTAACACAGGCAGCTTAGAAGTGATATTATACATTTTCTCAATAGGAAAATTAAAGAAACAACAACAAAAATAAAAAAATATTTAAAAAAAAATAGAAAGAAACTGGGGGTGAACTTTAAAATTTTTTAAACGTTCTGACTCAAGAGCAGATCCGGCTTTTTAATCTTAAGAAATGAGACCCATTTGTCCTTGAAATGGAAGTACACATTTAAATTATCTTGTAGTACTCTATGAACACCAATCCTTAACTGTTCTACAGGAGGGAAGGGCCACACAACACCCTACTGATGTCAACAAGCACAGTAACATGAACTGTACTGACAGGTTAACATCTAAATAAGTGCAACAATTCTATGTTGTTTGCTTTTAAACAAGATTTGCTTTTAATGCCCTAAAACAGCAGTTCTCAAAACGTTTCAGCTTCAGATACACAAAATAGCAACTGACAAGACAAGAAATGCACCGAAAATTCAGCCACCAAAAATGACCCAAAAGAGCATTTTCTGTTTTCAGCAAAAACACCTAAATCACCGAAACAACACAGCCAAAACTGGCCGTCAGGGGAATATCATTTCTTATGGTTTTTAACAATTATGCAAGAAATGTAGCTTCAGCAATTAGTTTTCTATTTAATTTTGAATTCTGGAAATCATCTCAAAACCCCCTGTACAGTTCTTGGTCAACCAGAGTGGGGTTTATGTAGTTGTCTGAAAATGTAACACTTAAAAAAAATACAAAAAAAAAAAAGCTTGATAATACTGAAAAGAGTGGTCACAATAACCGCGAGGCTACAGTTTCACATCGTGACAACGCTAGATGGGAGTTTACCGCTCTTAAGCCGGGTGTACACTGTGCGACTTTTTCACTTTTTTGAGCCGATTTTCCAGTCGTGCGAGAATCCACGAGATCGGGGCGAGTTTTGCGCTGAGCGGTCGTGTAGTGTACAGGGGGTTTCGAGAGGCGATTAACACCACGTGACCAGCTACCGATCAGCAGTCGTGAGCTCGCACAAACTTCTGGCGTGTTTAATATGTCGCTCGTCCCTCGTGAGGGTATCACACTGTTGAAGCGGCGCTGCGACCCAAAAAGTATCAGAACCGCTCACGGCGCATGCGCAATCCTGCATCAACGCCGCTCGCTCGCTATTTCCCTAAAAAGACACGCTGTTCGTTTTTGTTTCTACACGTTTTTTTTACTCACAAAGATTGTCAAGAAAGTGTGTTTGTCGTGTTCATGTCAAATTAAACTGATCACAAAACACAGATTTACTTTCATTATTTCATTTTCCTCATCCAACCCCATAAATCCCTGTGTGTCCTCCTGAAGCACTCCCGAAGGACAACAGGCAAAACAAGACAAAAAAGTCTGACGTGTTGTGTAAAAACTGCTATTTTTAGCATATGTTTTAGGGCCGACGTGTTGCTACCAGACGTACAGTGTGAGCAGTCAGATCGCAACCGAGAACTGGGTCGTGCAGTGTGAGCACATGACTAGTGAGATCTGCCCTGCGAGGAAGTCGTAGTTTGAGCTGAAGCTGAGTGCTACGAGTGAAAAAGTCGCACAGTGTCCGCCCAGCTTAAGACTCATGTGCACAACAGAACTCCTTCAGAAACAGCTCTTTCACTCCTGCAGAGTAGGACAGCAGTGTGCATGGCCCTCACAAGTGGCTCAGGGCCAATACTGTGAGTTATATGTAATGTAGAAGATGGTAGAAATGCTTGACACTGATATAATTCCACTCAAGTTTCATGCAACTACAGAGCAATACATGAAGCTGTGAATTCTGATCCTCTCCCACTGTGGGTGTAAAAGGGAGAGAGGACAATTGAATGGTGAGAAAAGTCAGAGGCTGCAGATCAGGATTCATGGTCAGGGTGGAGTCTGCTTTGCATGGCCTCATCAGTCCATAATCAGGCCACTGTGGATCGCTTTGTCTCATGCCATTACAATGAAGCCCTTCACACCAGAGAGGAGGATGAGGATCTGCAGATTATAGGAAGGAGCCAGGCACCATGGGCCACCAACTCAGAACACACAGAAAAGAGTTGTGTAACGCAGTAGCAACAATTACACCAAAGTAAAAACACATTTAACATATGAGTGACCAAGAATGTTTTAGAGCACAGGAGGAGCTGTATTTCCCTATGGTTAGCATCCCACAGAGGTACTTTGACAGGCAAATGTAGTTAGACGTGCATATAAATCACAGACTGTCCTGCTTTCTTTTTTACTGGGTGTGATCCAGTTTCAGTGTAGAAAAGCAGACATCTGCTGTAATGACAAGGTAAACCCCAACCAGCCTCTGCAAAATCAACTGTTACCAGAAAAAATTAATAAAATGCAATCAAAAATGTCTACCAGAGAAATAAAAGCAAAATATTCAGATTCAGAATTATTTCCTGCAACATTTCTATTTGTTTCCATTGCATTTCACTGTGTATACAACACCTGAATGCATTCTCATGGTTACACACACACACGCACACGCACACACACACACACTGTGTTGAGTGAAGCCGAGTTAAATTTTATGGTTAAAATCTCATTCAGGTTACTCTCATCAGCAAACACATCTAAACAACGAACAGGTTTAAAGTGTTTCATCAAAAACAAAATGAGCTGTAATGCTATTAAAGTAACTCACTTTTAAAAAGTTAATTTGAATTTGGAATAAAATGGTTTATTTGCTGACATTGGAAACCATTAGACTTCCCACCTGAGAAGGGTCGAGGGCTTCACTGGCCGATTTGGAAGTGGTCATGCCGCTCTTCTGTCGGTCAATGCTGCGGCTGCGTACGGGTCCACGAGATGGGTGCAGGGGACTGGCAGATGCTGAACGAGGACACAGGTGACACTCTGGTAAAGGACACAGTCATCCCAGGACCAGGGCAGCACAACCAGTAGGAGGAGGGAGAAGCAACCGAAATGGGCAGCAAAGCAGCGAAAACAGCAACGAGGGAGGATGAAATAAGGATGGATTGGGAGACAAAGGCAGAGTAAGGAGAGAAAATGAAGAGTGGAGAGGGGATAGATTGTTGGAAATTGCAGGAAAGTGTTTTTGTGACGGGGGAGGGGAGCACACAAAAAGCACTTTGTTAGATATAGCACTTTATGCAGGCAGGTTGAGTTCTAATAGCTAAGCAAATGAATGGAGAACGCATCAATCTGACAAAAACACCAAACGCCCTGCTTCCTCCACAACATGGATCTGAACACCAAACCCTACACAACACCACAGTCAAATGCTACAAACACAACAAAACACACACACACACACACACACACACACACACACACATTTCAAAACTATATTAGTACGCCGAACACACACACTGTGCCACTTCTTGTTTCTCCATTATGCAACAATAAGTGAGAAATGAGGCCTTTAAGCTCTTCTTACTGTTATGATGTTCAGCTTCATTATTATGAGACAGAAAACATGTTGCAACCTATGTGGTGCTGATGACTTTTTAAAAAATGCCATTACATGAACAAGCACCAGAGGAAATAGTGTTGTTCTCCATGTTGCTGTGTCAGATTGAGGGATTAGCCTTCATAATCCAGACCTCAGCAACTCTTCCTGCTCCAAACGTGCTCAGTACTTCACTGACTACACGCTGAGCTGCAGAGGTGACTAAAACGTAGCCTGTCACGAGCTTCAGTTGGATGAGTCATGTTTCAGCTTAGGCTATACTTAGCAGCAGATCTATCACTGTTAATGGGTTCATAAAGGCTTGTCAATAAACACCACAACCTAAAACAAACACTAGCAAAACTCTGCAGCTTTGGAGAGAGCCACGGAGACACGCAGGGTCATAATCACTCTTGATTCTCTAATGAGACACATAAATGGATTTAATGCATGTATAATATCAGCATTTAATTTGGTTTAGCTAAACTGCCTGAAGTCACTAGAAATGTTTCACAACTAGAACACATTCTCAACAGTCTCAGTCAGATGTAACAGGAACCAGTGGGTAAGCAGCTTAAGAGTAAATCGCTCAGCATGGACTATGAGGCTCCTCAGATGGAAACACTCGTGGCTACGTCGCCTGTACCGCCCAACGTCACAAATGGCTGATTGTTAAAGATGTGTGAGTGAGCGTGAGTGGAACAATGTTTGTTGATATTTACTGACCATGTCTAACTCTCTGAAATGACTGTAAATACATGAACAGCTGATCAACACAGGTTTTTCCAAAGAGTGGGATGTAAACCGGTTTCTGTAAGTCAACTAGCAACAAGGAAATGAGAAATTCTTCCAAAAGCATAGCAATGGGGCTAATTCATGTTAATGATGATACTGAAGATGTGTTTAGCATGAAGGATGTGTTTAGACATCCTTCCTCTGTCAAGGTCTCCTTGGCGGAGTTTACCTGGAGAATCTGTTCCTTCAGCGGACAGGGCAGCGGCGCTCTTGCTCCTAGCTAGTGAGGCTTGGGTGGGGGTGAGGAGGCGACTAAGGACTCCTTCATCCACAGTACTGGCCGGTGGCCTGCGGGCTACGCAGCCACAAATTTCCCGAAAAACAGGAGAGAAGAAAAAAGAACACCAAGAAGGAAGGAGTGGATAAAAATGAACAAAAAGAAAAGGTCACCATGTGATTCAACAGGAAAGAGTCAATGTAAAGAACCACAGGCTACAGCTCTGTAGTTAAAACATGGCTTCCTCATCAACTCTCCATGTCCTTTTGCTTTTGGAGAGGCAGAGTTAATAAAGGTCACCATGGCTAAGTACAGAGATAAACGTGTTAACTGAATGGAATTAAACCAGCAGTCAAAACAGACAATAAAGTCAAATCAGTGGTTTCTGGAGGCAGAGGAAAGAGGGCTGATGGGAAAAACAAACCATTAGTTATTTCAAAGATAGAGGGTCAATACTATGGTCTGAGAAGTGAAACTGTGATAGGGAGACTGTGAACGTGCAATAGTCATTTAGTTTCTGCTGTAGGAGGTGGTTTCAGTGGTCGAGTCAAACACCACAACTTCTGAGAAGGTCATTATGATGGACCTTTATCCTACAGCAGAAATAAAGAATTTTGCTTTCATCAAATGGAGAGAAGGTCCAAATTACCCATTAGAACCGTTCTACAGATGATAAATTACACCAGGTGGAGTTTTAGAGCTGATGAGTTGGGTTTATTAAGGGCTAGCTCCTGAAGGCAGAATGCTGATTTCTGCTTCCCTTTGCAGCTCTTTTCTGAAGCAGCATCTGCTAGTGACAGACCGAGTTATGTTCAGTGATGACTGGAAACCATGACAGAATGTTGTCCTGAATCCAAGTAAAATTCTTTTTTCTTTGCCTTTTTCTAGCCGGGAACAGAGCTAAATAAAAAGAGTAAATAAACTTTATGAATACAGATGTAAGGTTCTATTTAATATCTGTAATAGGTGATGTGGAGTAGGTCAACCACACAGGAAACAAATATACAAGACAGGAACACAACAATTTCATTAGTAGGAAAAGTTGGTGACTGAGCTGCAGAACAAACAAAAGCAGTCATGGTTAATTGCAACAAAAAAGACTTTTCTATTATCCTTTCTGTGCCCTCCTGCTCCTGTGAGGATGGCACTGACACACTACGCTGAAGCCAGGGCAAGTTATATTCAGCGATAACGTCTTGAAGACAACCAACGTTTTCAGGCAACAGGACAATAAATGGTGTTAAAGCTGACAGAACACAGCGAGGAAAGGAGGTCATGGAAAACACGGCACGGGGCTGGATCTGTTAGATAGTTACATTTAGCCAGCACATCAAAGTTGAAGAGTTCAAACATAAACAGCCTATGCAATTAGGAATTTGTGAGCTTCCAATGAGAATGAACTTGAATAAAAAAAAGCAAGCCAGTTAAAAGAGAAAAAAGCATGAAATCTGGTACATTTAAATGAGATCAATGAGCATTACTCCAGAAAGCTCCGGGAGCAGAAAGAACGTTTCTTGTACTTTTAAAGTATGAGGACATTCTGAATTAGTAAGCCATCAGAGCAGCATGCTTGTTATTTAAAAAGGTAGTTCTGATTGAGCAGTGCAAGCCGATTTTACATGCTAGCCACCTTGATCATCCGATGTCCCCTTATCAGGCTTGGCAGGGGTCTGTGCTCTGCCCACACTTACTCGTGTGAGGGAGGAACTTCTCTTCTTCACAGAATGGCCTAAAGACATGAGAGTGGAGTTATAGCCAAGCAGCCACTGCAGGGAGTCAACAAGGAAAGGCCCAAGTCATGTGCACTTCATCTGGCCTTGTGGAAGTCACCAGGCCAGAGCTAGCAGCAGCTGATGCCCCGGTTTAGGAGATTAGGTCTGAAGACACAAACAAGCTTCTTAACTGTCCTATCTGATCAAACCACCCATTTCCTTCTATACCAGTTCATATCTACTGTATTTATTCCTCAATAACAGGTGAGGGTTCATTATTTAGACGTTGTCAGAGCAGCTGAAAGTGTAACACAAAGCTCCGATGGTGTTCTGTACCCCGTCTGTTATTAAAACAACCTCTGAGGGGGAAGGGGGGGGGGGGGGGGGGGATCTTCTGCACCTGTCAGCTCCACCTGAAGCTTTTTGCCTCCTTCCTTACTGGCCTGAGCAGCAGTGTCATTGCTTGACAACCGGTTACAAGATGAACTCCTTGGTTTAACACCTGAGAGACAATAACGACACATCCGGTAATTAAACGAAACATTGTGTAGTCGGTTCTTCAGACATTTTACAACACATTCCTGCATCATCCTTAGATTAAAGTGGTGCACACTGGGGAAATAATAATTAAGCACAAGATTGTCAGCAGATTCCTTTCCAAGCAAAAATCAAAGACTTTTTTAAGACCATAAACTGTTCATTAGACTTTGTTCAGAATTTTAAAAGAAAGTATCAAAGGTAAGCGGAGTTGTGGAACCGTTGAGCCTGAAAAAGACCCTTTTAAATTTTACCAATCTCTGTGTGCATCAGGCAATCTGCACGTTAAAACCATGGATATACAAAAGGGCAGAGGTCAAAGTTCATTTTAGGCTTAAAACTGGCAGAGAAGGCTTAAATCCATTGAGTCTATTGTTAGCCACATAATCTAGCGTGCAAATGATAGCAAAAACATTTAAGTGCATGACAAGTGAAAAAACAGCTTGCTGTAGACTGTGTGGGGCTAAAACTGCAGCACGTGAATCAAGGAAGGATGGGGTGGGGGGACGACAAAGGAGGGAGGGAGGGATGGAAAAGAGGAGACTTACCTTTGTCAGGTGATTTGGCGAGGACAGCAGAGGAGGAGGATAAGCGCTTGTTGATGCCAGCCTCAGACGGCTGTTTCAGGTTGGTGGTGGATGAGGAGCGCTTCTCAACTAAGAGCAAGGGGGAAGAATAGATAAAGGAGGTGGGGTTTACAAAGGAAGCAGCCAATAGGAGAGGAATTTCAGGGGCAGACGAGGGAGAAGAAGGTCCTTCTATATCAGTTTTACTAATGTGAGTTTTAAAACATTTTAAAGTTACAATGGTAAATCTGCTAAATAAGCCAGAACGGAATTCATGTCCCTTTAACAACCTTCCAACACAGTATAGCTATAAATATTTTGTGGCAATTAAAAACAAACAAATAATGTGGTTCTCTCACATTTGTCAAAATCCTCCACCAATAACACGACTCTATTCAAAACAAACCATTGGACCATACGATTGAAAGGTTCTCTGCTCAATTATATCAGAGAAGAAGAAACAGTGGGCTGCTACCACTTCCAATTTTAGGACAAACTACCAGAAAAGAAAACTGCAATTTGAAGATGCAGAAAACAAAATACATTTGGTCATAGAAAATGTTCACTTTTTTTTGGTTAGTGGCAATGCGGGTTCAGGGGGGCGTGGCCTAGGGATGAAAGAAGAAGACAACTATCTTTTACATAGCGCCTCTCAAGATAAAAATCATGAGGCGCTTCACAAAAACAAAAATTCAAGTTTAAAAAGATTTCAAAATGATTAAAAACATGTTTAAAAGGAGAAAAGACCAAAAAAATGTAAGGGAGGGAGAAAATGAACAGGAAAGAGGGAAATCGATGGATCCCAAGAAAGGCAGAATAAGAACAGAATAAGGAGAGGGTGGTGGTGAAGGTCACACAAAAACCAGCTTGAACAGGGTGGTTTTCAGCTGCTTTTTGAAGGAGACCACTGAGTCCACTGATCTCAGGCTCAGGGGGATAGAGGTCCAGAGTCTGGGGGCCACAGCAGCAAATGATCTGTCACCTTTGGTCTTTAGCCTGGTGCTGCACAACCAGTAGGCTTTGATCACTGGACCTCAGGGACCTGCTGGGGGTGTAGGGACTAAGAAGATCACCAATGTAAGATGGTGCTTGTCCATGGAAGGCCCTATAGACCAGAACCAGGATCTTGAAATGAACCCTGAAGTTGACTGGCAGCCAGTGAAGCTGGAGGAGAAGCGGGGTGATGTGGGTGTATTTGGAGGACTTGGTCAGAAGCCGAGCACAGGCATTCTGAACCACCTGTAGACGGTTCAGGGAGGTTCTGCTCAGACACGTGAAAAGAGAGTTACAGTAGTCTAAGTATGAGGAGATGAAGGTGTGGATAACTGTCTCAAGTTCAGAGTGAGACAGAATGGGACTCAGCTTAGCAACGTTCCTGAGATGGAAGAAGGAAGAGCGAACAAGAGAACTGACATGAGAATCCAGGGTGAGAGCTGGGTCAAAGGTCACACCAAGATTCCTGACGGAAGGTTTGGTGTGAGAAGCAAGCTGACCAAGAGAGTCTCTGACTTTGGGAATCAGCTTGTCTGGGGCACAGATAAGGATCTCAGTCTTATCTTCATTCAGCTGTAGAAAGCTGACGGGAAGGGTGAGAGTTCCGCAGGTGTTATGTAAACTGGATATTCTGTATTTGACAGATTTTATTTTATTTTTGTATCGGTGACAGAAAAAATCTGAAGGGTCATTTTGACAGATTGCAATTCACACCCCGACTTGCATGTCCACAAACATTTTAAACTTTACGCACATAAAATAGATTGCAGAGGTAACAAATTCAATCGAGGAAAGACTCCCATCTGGACATAAAGTCACACTATTCTCAGCACAACTCGCTGTTGACAGAGCACGCAAGTGGACACCACGCTGAAAAGAGATGGACAGGAGCTCAGAGCGCATCTGTGGGTTGCAGCAGAGCGTGGATTCATAGGACCACAACATTTAAACAACCGTGGGTCTGTCCGAGGCAGCAGTCCAGAACCTCATGAATATAGCCCCTTCAGCAATCCACCGTAGACATTTGATTACGCACAAGCAGGTGAACAGTTCAGGTTTATGCAAAACAGTAGGAAGGTGTGCATTCGGGCCACAGCAGGTGAATTGTTCCTACTCCAAGTGAAATTATTTAATTGTAAAGTTAATGTTACCGAGGCTGTTACAGTTACTCTGGTCAGCTTGTTTGGTCTAAATATTATATATGAATGTAAAAATGAATGGTTTCGAATGGGATGGACAACATATCGGCATCAATATTAGTATCGGCCGATGCTAGTCATTTTTTAACATATCATTGTTTATCGATTCGATAAACAAAACCGGGCCAATATTAACAAACGGTATTTTTTTCCATCTCGTCTCCATTTGATTGCCCGTTTCAGAGGGTGAGGGGGGGGGTGTGTGTGTGTGTGTGTGTGTGTTATTGTTTAGTCATGTGAACAGTGGTCGTAATCATCTCAGAAGTGTAAATGTGTGTGTTGTGTGTACATAATAATGTAAATTCAGCTCTAATAATTTTCATTATATACAAAATTAGCTGATTTTAGAAGCATTAATGTCAGTAAATCAGTATCAGTATCAGCAAATATCGGTTATCGGCCACTACAGTGATCTTAATAACGGAAATCGGTATCGGCCCAAAAATTTCATATCGGTGCATCACTAGCATTGAATGTTTATTATTATTTTAGAAATGAAAATGATGGGAGAGAAAAAAAAATGATCGTGACCGTGTTTTTAAACCATGTAGGTCAAAATGAAGGACAACAAAAATGTTGAGTTCTGTGACCGTGTTTGTTTAAAAGCTAGCTTGTTTTGCAGATCTGGTAAAGCAGCTGTAAAACAGAACAAATGTACAAATAATTGACTACCGAAAACAACACATGCTTACGTTTTTACCCAAAAGAAAAGAAAGCATTACCAAAACTACACTGTTAATAGAAAAGTATTTTAGGTAAAGTACTTTAAAAGGCTTTGATACTAATTACCCATCAAACCTGGAGGTGTACAATAATAGGGATGGACATTATCTAAAGTCAGAACCAGAACCTATTTGAATCTAAAGCTCTTAAATTTAATAATGGGGAAAACTACATAAATATTGGGAGTTTTGGGTAAAGCTCTTACAGAACTGAGAACCTTTGGCATACCAATGAAACATTTGAACATTAAGTGGTGTTTTATATTCTTGTTCTGTTTGTGTCACACCATGTGTGTATAGTTTTATTTTGTTTTTTGTTTAATGGGGACTAAGAGTGCAGATGCGAATGTCATGTCTACTTTTTTTTTTTACTACTATTAGACAGTTTGAGGGTTTAAGTCCTTAGTTGAACTGCATTTGTGCTTTTATTGTTTGAGGCAGCTTCATTTTCCTAAACATAGTCAGTTTGCTCATGTAAAATAAGTAAAAAAAATATATAATTAACTATGAGTAAACATCACAAAGAAAACGTGCGCCCAACCCTGAAAAAGAGCAACACGTCCAGTAAATAACCAACAAGGCTCTTCAAAACAAATACACCATACAAAAAACATTCTGTTAGTAGGAAAAACTGCCCGTTAGAAAGCAGGTGGAGACTGGTGGGGTTGGGGAGTGACAGTGGAAAGGGTAACCAAGCTATCTGAGGTGCCAGAGCCGGTCCATGCTGTGTTGCTATGTTGGTGAACAAATAACAAACAAAACCTTGTTCATTCCTCTGTGGCTTTTCTGATGAGGCAGATGAGACAACTATAGTTACTGGAGAAGAGATGCTGGCATCAGAATCTCCTGTGGGAAAAGACAGCTCTCAGGCAGGAGCACAAACACAAGAAGAAGGGGCATGTCCTTCATTCAAATAAATACAAATAAATGAGTCAAACCTGGCTAAAACCTATTAAACCCTATTAAAAAGGAACATCGCACTGAGAGTGGTGGGTTTTGTGGTTAAAAGCCTTTTTTTTTCTGGAATTAAAAAAAGAAAACTGCCCATTTCTGTCATGAGCATCTAAATCAGTCTGACAGTGTGTTACTTAAAAGTAGGTGGGGACAATCTGATGCCAGCTGCGGTGAAACATGAACATAAATGTCTGTTTTAAAGATGTGAGGTGCATTTTAAGTGTTTACAAGACAGGCTGTAAAACTAGAACTGGACATCAAGAACAAAACAAATGAAAGCTACCTGCTCGTCCATCTTGATCTGTGGAAATCCCTCCCCAGGACCATCTCTTCTGCCTCTGCTCCACCCGCTGACTACGCTCCATCGTCCGCCTCATCACAGACTCGTAGTGCTCCTGCAGCAACCGAAGCAGAGGACAGTTTTAGCTTGTTTACACACTTCAGCCATGATCCTCTAGGTTGATTTATTAATGAAGGAAACAGTAGACTGTTTACCTGTGCAATCTCTTAGTTTTAACATCTGAAAAGTAAACACAGTTCTGGTGCAGTTACCTTTTCCTCCTCCTGCTTCTGCTTCCTCTTCTCCTCCACAGCCAAGCGTTTCTGCTCCTCCTTCCTTCGCTGTTCCTCAACCTTTTTCTGTCGTTCCTCTTGCTGGCGCTCCACTTGCAGCTTAGCTTTGCGTTCCCGCTCCATGATCTGAGACTCTCTTAAAGCTGATGACGCATAATGATTAGATAATGGAAATGGAGTTTACTGCATTTATTTTATTAAAATATATGCTGGCCTCTTGTATCATTCTACTTTTAGCCTGTTGAGGATCAATTATTTTATGGGATTTTTTTAAAGCTGCACCTAAAAGTGTGATCTTTTTTTGGATTGAACCATTATGGCTGTTTTTGGAAACAAATAAAATAAAACCTGTCTTCTTACCCTGTTTTCTATCGGCCTCCTCCCGTCTTTCTTTTGCCACTCGCAGCCGGTCGTCTACTCGAAGCGCAGCACCGTCGATTACTACCAACACACGTGCATATATGGTTAAATGGAAAGTATATGCACAAAAATACAGACAACATTAGAATGATGCAGTGTGTTTTAAAAGCTTTTTATCATCCAAATGGATGCACGTGACTCATTAATGAGGTTTGCCACCGTTACGGTAATGAGATGATGACTAGGGCTGTCGCGGTTGAGGAATTCCCCCTGCGGTGAGTCAGGGCAGCTCAATATTGCGATATGCGATATTATTGCGCCTTGTTTTTATTTATGTACTTAGCAAATTTGTTTGTTAATTACTAAACTCATGGCAATATTTCCTTTAAAACATTGTGCTTACACATTTTAAAAATGTTAGAGAAAAATACATGGCCATTTTTACCACTTTATTGAATGCAGATCGAAGGGCAGTTACGGCATTTTCTGACTGAACTTAAAAACAACATTCAGGAGGTTTAACTTTGAAATGCAAATTTGGCTGCAACATCTAACAGAAATAAAAAAAGTGCCCGTTTTGTTTTGTGGTTTAAAATAAAGTATACAAAATGAGATGTCCTAGGCACTGTCATTTCACTTTCACACACAAGCTTAACTGAGATTTATAACTCGTTCATGTCCTTGTTACGCGCAAGGAACACCAGCATGTTAACTTTATGCGGTTTGAGAGAAGATCTGAGAGGGGTGACAACATTTCCAGCGACACTAAAAACCCTCTCGGATGGTGCGCTTGTTGCGCAAATACACATGTACTTGCGTGCGACTTTGGAGAGCAATGGAAATCTCATGGTTGTTACGCCACCATGTCAGAGGGTTTTCATTAGGGTCAATGGGTTCCTCCTGCAGGTAGCGAGTGAGTTCCAGCTCGGCTCTAACTCTCTTGGGGACGGTTGCAGATGACGTGCTTGTCCGTGGCTTCAGCAGGTCTCCAAGCGTTTTTTTCTTTGCCGCTGGTGGCAGCACTGCCTGCTCCAAGGTCTCTGGCTGGACTGCAGCTGACGCACTGGCACGGCTCCCTCCATCTTCCATGTTTACTATCTCCTCGATCAGCGCGGACTTTACCTCAGCATCATCATCAGAATTGTTGCCTCGATATCTTGGGTCCAGCAAGCAGGACCGTGCCAACGTTTTTTGTAGAGCTGCTGGTCTGTACTTCTCCTCGAGAACACCGCACATCTTCTGCTTGATGTCCGAGGTCAGAGTGGTGTCTTCGTCTGATGGTTTTAAAACCTCTTCAGTGAGGAGTTTCAGGACAGGTTTAATAGATGAAACCGTGACATAGCTTTCGCCAGACAGCAGATCCGTAAATTCAGCCGCTGGCTTTAAAGCTGCGTTCACCGACTCTAAAACTGCAATGTCCTGCCAGCTGGGGATGAGATGCTGATGCCGCCGATCATCCAGAACCCTTTTAATAGCAGGGATTTGCTCCAAGACTCAGTCCACCATTTTCTGTTTGGAACCCCATCTTGTTGGACAGTCCTGGTTGGATGGAGTAATGGCATATTATTATTTAAACTGAAATTAAATCTGCCTATTCTTTTTAAATTAAGTCAATATATAACAATATTTATTTGTTTCAGTGTATTTCTTTCTAAACAAAACATGTTTTTTAAGCATCACATAAAGCCACCAACTGCTATTTAAGGCTGCACATATGTTTTATGAATTTCGGGCAACAAATAAAATAAATCCCATTCACGGTATTCATATTTTTAGCAGACTTATTGGGCCTATCTGTGTTAGTAAGTGAAATTACAGTGGGATACAATTAGATCATAAATAAAACTTATGAAAATTATTTTACCATTATGAGCGTGTGCTGCGGGAGGCGGAGCTCCGCTTGTGCCTTCGCCAGATCCCTCCTCTTCACCCAGCTGTGGGAGAACGCACCCACTAAGGTGTGGCACAGACCCATTGCTCGGGATGTGCGATCTTTAACACTTGTCATTGCGTTTGTCACTGCCAGGTGTAAATTATGTCCGAAGCAGTTCAGCCAAGTCCAGCTCAATTTTCTCACTGCTGCGGCGATGTTTGCCCCGTTATCAGTCGTTATGCACGCCAGCTTCTTGTCATCCAGGGACCACTCATCAAACACGCTGCGTAGAGCATCTGCGATGTTGTCAGATGTGTGATTCTGGGGCATGAACACTGTTTCGAGGCAGCGTGATTTAAGAGTCCAGTCTTTGGTCAGGCAATGTACAGTTAGACTTATGTAAGGAGTCATATTCACACTTGACCACATGTCAGTGGTGGCAGAGAAAAAGTCCACACTTTTGAGCTCACTCTGAACCGATGCTCTAACTGTGTTGTACATTTTTGGCACCGCAATTTCAGAGAAGTAGGTTTTCCCTGGCAACTCGTATTGCTTGTCAAATTTCTGGAGAAGCGACTTGAATGCAGGTTTCTCCACAGTAGAAAATGGCACCATCTCCTCCACCAGATACCGTGTAACACAGCCTGTCAGGTGTTTATGTCTGTCACTGTCTCTGCTGTACTTGCCGACTCGAGAAAAGGCTTCGCCGAGTCCAAGCTGTCGGCTTGCACCGGCATGAGCTGCCCCGCAGCTCTGTGTGGCAGGTGACGACGGCAGCCGCGCCTTGATAGCTGGATGGTAGGTCGCAAGGTGAGCCCTTAAATTAGATGTGTTTCCTCGTTTTACTTGAACCGTTTTGCCGCAGATTTTACAGACTGCCTTGTTTAAATTCTCTGGCTCCCCCTTTTCATTTGGCTGAAAGCCAAAATGTTCCCAAAGGGGCGAAGTAGCATTTCGCTTCGACACCAGTGCAGCCATCCTTCTCAGCATGCGCTGTCGCGAGACTCAATCAGGTGCGGTTATGGCGGGTGCACGTCATGCAGCGCGGTGGGTTTCTTAATATCGCGATATTTTCTTTTTGCGGTTACCGCGACAGCCCTAATGATGACTAACATGCAATATGACACTGAGAATGTGGAGGTGGATTGTGTTCCATCTAGGGTTGGGGATCATTTGATTTTGAACGATTCCGATTCCAATTCCTCGTTTCGATTCCGGTTCCTATCGATTCCCGATTCAGATTCTTTCAAGACATGACATGTTTTACAGGTCCTCCTTGATGAAATAATCTCAACTTCAACATGAATTCTAATTCTATGAACAACATCATCTTCATTTAGACAAAAACATGTTTTGGAGAAAAAAAGAAAAAGACTTGCAGCACAACCAGTGTGTTTGTTTCTGACCACAACCAAAGTCTGGAAGAAGCCTCTGGGATGAGAGGCTAAATGTCTCCAACATATCCAGAAACGTCCAGCTGTTTTCAGCTAAAACTCTCAGGATGATCATGTCCAGGATGACTGAGAACTACACCTCCATGTTGCAGCAGCATTCAGTCAGAGCAGAAAGTAAAACTTAAATGTAGCTGCTGTCAGTAACAATCTAACAGATTTTAAACATTAAAACTCTCAACAGAAATAGTTCAAAAAGGAAATTTCACAACTTTGTGTGTGATTTATTATTATTTTTATAATTATTTATTGTGGCAGAAGCTGGTGTGGTTCACCACAGAGAAAGCTGCTCTAGCATGATGACTTTAATTATTCTACAGGTTATTGTTCAGCCATCTGACGTTCTCTCTCTCTCACACACACACACACACACACACACACACACACACACACACACACACACACACACACACACACACACACACACACACACACACACACACACACACACACACACACACACACACACACACACACACACACACACACACACACACACGTTGGTGAGCGGCTGCATCTGACTGCTGACGCTCCGTGTGTGTTTTTATTTCTGCAGTGAGACAAACTCACCTCACACCGTCCACAGTTTGTTCTTTAAAGCTTCTATTAAATCCACCGTTAGGGCTGCAACAAACGATTATTTGGATAATCGATTAATCGGATGGGGTCTCGATATGATTAATTGATTAATCGGATTACATAGGGACATTTTTAAAAACTGCTAGGGAAACGTTATTTCTCTTCTTCCTTCACTTTATTAAACATGTTATTAGAAAACAGTTCAATAGCAGAAAAACAACATGCCATCACCTAAATTGTCTTATAAGGTGTATAGACAGAGACCCTAAGCTACACCTATCTGTGACCTAAAATGCTTGGTCCAAGTTAAACAGCTTAAAGAGCAAGTCAACCCCTACCAGAGTCTAACTCCACTCCCACTTCATGTTTGAAAAATGCAACACATGCTGTTGCCAGGCAGACCGAAAGGGCAGAGCCGCTAACAAATACACACACACTCAGGCTCACAACAGCATTGTGACATCATAATGTACCAGTTTACATCATAGCATACTTCTTAGCCAATAGCGGTGGCAGATTTAAATTAAAATACAGTGCAGAGTTTTTACCTGACAAGGCCACAACACTGCCAGTTTTAGGCAGAATATTTAAATTTTAACTAAGATGCACTGAAGTGCCAAATTATTGACGACGCGTGTCTGCAGCACGATTAGACACTCGTTTATTTAGTTTATCAGCAAAAAAAAGTTTATTTGGGGGTGACTTGCTCTTTAAGGGCAATTCTCATCTGTTTTGTTTGATCTCATCTGTAGACATTTATTATAATTGGGGATGTCAAACAACTAATTTTTAAATGCAATTAAACATAGGCTGTGAATTAATCAAAATTAATCACTATTTCCAAAAATGACTGAAAAAATACCAAATAAAACAAAAGTAAATGAATGCCATCCTCCTTGCGATGATGCCCTGGGCAACTGCCATAAAGTCACATCAAGAAATGCTGCTGATCATTCCAATGATCCCAAATAGACTCACATTAGGCCACATGAAAGCAACTGAACCCAAAAATATATTAACCAGTATATAACTGCACTCTCACACAACACGCCTGCAGCAACAGTTAGGACTCCTCCCTCCCTTTTAAAAGCGTTTTCGCTTCTGAGGACATTGTGGTTGTAAAGCCACATGTTAGTAGTCTGGCCCCGGTGTGATCAACCAGTTTCTGCGGGAATGTGACGGCGGAACCGGTTCGCAGCAGCGCGAGTCCCTCCACCCGCCTATCTAATAGCGTTGCGCTTACAATTTTATAGACGTTTTTTTAAGAGCTTAGGGCAAGTCTAGCGTGTGTAATAATCCGGGGCTTGGGTGAATCACTTTTGAAAAGTTTTTAACTTACCCGGACACAGAGCTCTCTCCTTCCTCGCTGATGATTCTGACATGCTTGCGTTTAAGATGCTGCATCATCACTGTAGTACTCCCGTGCCATGCTAAGTCTGACCTACAAACGTTGCAGGTAACAAATGTCTTCGCCTGATTTAACTGAAAATGCTCCCAAACTTTAGAAGTTTTTACTTTTTTTGGGTCTCGCTGCTTCTGCCATGTTCCTCTTCCAAACACCTGCCGGCTCTCCAGTCTGCGCGCAACGGCGGGCGGGAGGGGGCTTTTGGAAGAGTTGTGCAACACAACGAATCGATGATGCAATTAGTTGCCAACGCTTTTAGTAATCGATTTTCATCGAATGTATCGATTCGTTGTTGCAGCCCTATCCACCGTGTTGACGTATTTAACAAGTTTCCTCTATGCTGCAGGAATTAAAAATTACATTACGGAGTAAAAGTTCAGCAGACGCGTTTATATTTGGCCGCTGCGCGCCGGGTGGGGGGAGGGGGGACTCGGTGCTGCACACATACAGCTGATGTGATCAGCTCTGGAAAGCGTTGATCACAATTTGCAAATCACGTTTATTTTTCACGGAGATCGGCCGCGGATTCCTCTTCCAGTCGGCATACTAGGAAACGGAACTAGCAATCAAAATAAAAAACCTTGAACGATTCCAGGAAAAACTAACAGTTGGAACCGGTTCCAATCGATGCTCGATGCCCAACCCTAGCTACATCCAACTGTTAAAATTGCATAAGACAAAGCCGTTAGAAGATGTTGTTTCAGTGTCAATCTGTGGTATTGTTTACCTGGTTTGCAGCCCTGAGGTTTAGATGATATGTTAGCTGTAGGTCCTGGACTATTCCCAGCCAAGCTACGTCGCTCTTCTGCTTGTGCCTGTGCGGCTGCAGCTGTATGACACAACACAATAAATAAATACACAGAATCAAGTGTCATAAAGTCAACGAGATTATCAAAACATTTTAAGAAAAAAAGTAGCTTGGGATATTCCAATCCACACAAGTAATATTATATATTTTTTCTCTGTGCAATTTCTGCTATGAGCAGGAATACGGATTTAGACCCGTTTCAAACAACATGACAATAGTCCAGCTTAGCATTCACTGCTTTCTATGACAAGCTCTGAGAGATGTGATTTCAGAAAACTATTTGGAAGTAATGTCTTGCAAGCTTCTTTGTGTGTAGCTAACAAACAATATTTTAGGGAAACCACAATCAATACAAAAAAAGGGCAAAAGTCACAACTGTTCTTCCAAAATGGATTACCTACAAGAACTAAATAATCAAAAAGTAAACAATATGCTTAAAATGTTCAAGGGAAGAAACTGAGCACATTTGGGAGAGTCTTCAGACTCCTCGTGATTACATTGCCATTCATAGGGCTGGTTTCCACCCGTTACCTCCTCTCTGTGTTCCCGTTTGTTCCTGATAAAGCGAAATTTATTTACTTCCAGTAACTTTTTTAAATAATCAACAGTATTCCCCGGTCATGGGCCAAGCACATAAGCCTGGAGGATCATCTGCCATGTGGTGAAGTTGCTAATGCTAACGGTTAGCTTCAACTAGCAGAGACGTCCACTGCAGTTCAAGAGGATGCAACTCTCTCCAAACAGGCCACTCAGGAAACTGTGCAGTGGGTAAGATGGCAATAACTTTTACACAGAAAGACACTTCAATAAGGTTTATCATTCCAATGAAGCCCACAACCTGCATACAACTGTGCTTACAAACATATGAGAACAGGACATTTTGAAAAACAAAAGAATTTAGTATTTCAAATTGAAATCTTTAATAGGCTGATAATTAAACTCCACCTGCCATGATAAACTTGTTCCATCATACACATAAGCAATAAATCATAAGATTCATAGTAATACTCTGGTGCCACTGCCAACTGGAGAATATTGCATATAATGTATAAAGCAAATAAAGGTACATTGCCAAAGAATATTCAGCATATATTTGAAAAGAGAGATAGCAGTTATTCGTTGAAGGGATTTGAAATCTTCAAAAAACCTAGATTTAGAACAAGAATGAAGGAAATGAGCATATCTGTGAATGGTGTGAAGTTGTGGAATTGCAGGGACAGAGAATGGAAAGAGTCAAGAACTCTAAAAGTGTTCAGTCTACACATTAAATCACGTGTGTTGAGTGGATATGACAACGGACAATTGATGTGGACATAATAATTAACAAATGTGAACAGTTACGGGACTGAAAGAACTGGTGAGGGACTGCACATATAAATTGATATTTAAGTTTAAAAAGGGGGCAGAAATAATAAGATTTTTCTTCTATCTGCTCCCTTTCATTCAAATATATATTGTGTTTTCATGAATATTGTTTAGTATCTGTTGTGTTATTTTTTTATTGAATGAAATAAAGATAATAAAAAAAATTAAAAAAAAAATTCCTTTTACCTTGTCAGTTCATTTTAAAATGTCTCGTTTTGTTTTCACAAGTTTTTCTTGCACCTGAAAAGAACATTAAATTGCCTCTGTGTATGAATTGTGCAATATAAGTAATAAAATAATAAAGCTGCCTTGCCTTTTAGTTTTTACATCGACCTACAGTAGTAGAAGTAGTAGTAGCAGCAGAAATTGAAGACATTTTTATATAGCGCCTCTCAAGAGGTGCTTCACAAGGAGCAAACATTTTTTAAGAATAATTATAAAAAGCAGTAGTAGAAGAAGACTTTTATATAGCACCTCTGAAGATAAATATTACGAGGCAGCACAAAAAGAATCAATTTTTTTAATGATTACCAAAATATCGTAATAAAAGCATTAGGGGAAAATGAACATTTTGAACAAGAAAAAAATGAATGAGAATAAAAATGAAATAAATTCTAATTAAAATTAAACACAGGAGCCCAAACAAATAATGAGCTTACAAAAACAGCAGCATGATAAGAAACTAGTGAGGAAGAATAAGAGGTCACATAAAAGCCCGCTTGAACAGATGAGTTTTCAGCTGCTCTGGTAGTTGTTTAGTAGGGGTGTAACGGTACGCTAAAATCATATTCAGTTTGGTTCGGTGTTTTGAAGGTTCAATTCATTTTCAGTATATTGTTATTAAATTTTAGGGAAGGACAATATATCGGCAATAATATCATTATCGGCCGATGTTAGTAATTTTTTAACATATTGGTATCGGTTTCATAACATATTGGTATTGGTTTCATATCGGTGCATCACTATTAGTTTATTTCATATGTAAAGCAGCTCCTATAGTGACCAGAACCAGGTGCCATCGCAGGCTGCTGATCTAGCATGACGTCTTTAATTATTTCACAGGCTATTTGTGCAGCTATGCGTGTTACTCTCATACTGTTGTTTGACTGTTGATGCTCCCTGTTTTTATTTCTGCAGCAAGCCTTAAAAACACACCTCACACCGCCCAGAGTTTCTTCTTTAAAACTCATAATAAATAACCAGCTTCCTCTGTGCCGTATTTGTCGTTGTAGGATTAAAACTTTACATCAGTTGTCACGGGGAAAGCTCAGCAGCCGTGTTTGTTTACATTTTTGCCGCTGTGTGCCTGCAGTGTGAGAGAAGGGAGGGAGGGGCGACGCTCCGTTCAGCATCTCTACAGGCTCCACAGTAGCAGCAACAACCAGCTGGTTTCATCCGCTCTGAAAGACGTTGATCAGAATTTGCAGATCACATTTTTTAAATGGAGATCGGGCGCATGCAGCCATCACGCATCACTCAATACAGCGTCTGTGCGGTGCGGAAACTCACCTAGAAACTTTTATCCGCTGCACTTAAATCATGCAAATAAAAATTCATTATTTAGTGGAAAAAATAAACCGAAACGGTTCGCAAGTGGACCAAACCAAACAGGCCGAACTAAAACGGTCCTACACCCCCCATTTAACGGTTACACCACTAATTGTGTAGTAATAAATGCATCCCTGGCCAGAATGTGACACAAGATGTTTTGTAACATTGTTTCTTACAACATAAGAGTAGTTTGATTTGATCTTTTTGGCACCTCAATCCAGTACTGACAGAAGAGAAGTTGCGCCACAGAAAGTGCTGTGCTTACAAACTTTTCCCTTCGGTCATACCTTGGTTTGCTGCAGGTTGTGTTTTTGTTTCTTCTTTATCACATGGTTAGTTTGTGTTCTGTTAAAGGTTTGAAATACTGCTCCATTTTCCCAGCCTGAAAATCCTGGTTCCTAAATCCATCTGACTCTGAAGCGCATACACACATTGTATAGCAGTAAACTTGTAAGAACGCGCAGGCATTGTGGTAGTGGCATTGCTGTAGAATATAAGAGTAACTATTATGACAAGGTAAAACCTGGATATCATAATAGACTACAACCATTATTTGGCATAGTGACGTGCCTTGGCTGTCACATATTTATACAAAAAACAAGTAGCTTGTATGTGTGCTACATCTAGGGCTGAGCGATATGGCAAAAATAGAATATCACGATTTTTCCAATATTTTATCACGATTTTGATTTTATCACGATTTTTTATCCATGAATAGCATAACTTCAATTGCGTATTAAAGAAGAGAAACATTGAATAAATAAACATTTATTCATATTAGGGATAATCAGCACAGTGCTAACACACATATATTTTAAACTCACACCAGAGATGATAAAAGCCCTGAGAGAAACAATTACAAAAATCAGTTTTTCTCGTTTTTCAAGTAACTTAACATAAATTAAAATCGTAAACATATTTAAAGTGCAAACATGTCAATTGCAAACGTATTGTGCAAACATTAACTTGTTCAAAATACTATGTAGCTCCCAGTTGCTCATGTAGTGGATAGTTAAGCTCAAATACGGCTCTGATGTGCGGCTGGACCAGAGATCGCTTGTGGTAGCAAAAAACTGCACATTCTGAATATTTTCTGCAACAAGTCTCTAAATAAAGTAAAAATTTCCAGTGCAGATTGGAGACAACCCATAGAAGCACTGATTTGATCTCATTTCAGAGAAAAATAGAACAGGTTAGATGCACCTAATAAATAAAATTACTAACAAACTCAGGAATCAATTTCCCTCTGGGATTAATAAAGTATTTTTGAATTTGAATCCTTCTTTGCTTCACTGTTCTGGTGCTGAGAATATCACTAATGTGGATCAAAGGAGATACACAGATGATATTTGGAGACTACATTTACTGCAGCTGGCAGAGGCAGAGATTGTTTCTATTGATACACAGAGTTTACAGAGTCATTTTAAATGTTAATAGGGGAAGACTGCAGGAGGGAGCGGTAAAATACAGGGGGTCCCTAACAAAAACAAGAAACTACGAGTCTGATGAAACCCGCTGGTTTTCCATCAGGCAGTCACGACGAGCCGAGGCGGCGTCGTGCTCTTAAGAAGCGGTGTTATTTTCCTGCTTCAGAAGAAGCGTCCAACGTGTTTTTACGCTTTCTCCGAGACATGTCACGTCACTAAGTTGTTAGCGCCGCGCGCTAAGGAAACCCTGCGTTCCTCTTTGAAACGAAAACCTCGTTGTCGCTCAGCCGCGGCGAAGCCATGTTTGTTCACACACAGGTGAAAACAAGCGGGGCACTAATATATTATTATGACTCACTCTGATTGGTTAAGGGTCAAACAAAGGCGTGTCATTCGCCTGAGGTAAGTTCCCTTTTCATTCAGAGGCAGAAATTCAACAGCAGAGCTGTGAATCGTGATAAAAAGGTCTCTCAAAAATGACAGACCGTCAGATGTGTAGATCGTAAAACGGTCTAAAATCGTCATATCGCCCAGCCCTAGCTACATCAATAAATAGTTGATCACATCCCCCCCCCCCCCCCACATGTGGGACATTGATGTTGCACTGTACTGCCCTGCCGAGGTCATCCCTTTAAAATATATATAACACAAGGAGGTTGTCTTCCATTCTAAACACAT